GCCCCCAGTCATCAAGCCAGGCGGTTCGCCTTAGCCGTATCTCAGAAACATTTTAATGTTTTTATTTGGTATCAGAATAAAACATTCTGATTCATTATATCTAACCTGGGCCAATTTTCAATCTTTATCTGCTGGGATTATTTTGTTTTCTTTAGCTGTCCTCTTGTACTGCTAGTAAAATGCACATTAAAATGCTATTAAACTTCTTATTACTGTACAGTGTGCACCTTGTTTGCTTTGGCACATGATTAGAGGTCTATGTCCTTCAGTTCCCACTTAAGGAATGTCAGTATGCGGTGGGAGGTCTTTGCTAGGCACCTGGACTATGTTAATGAGCTGTAGGTTGCTATTTTGCTGCCTCTGGTGTTTCGCTAGAATTAGCTGCTTTGCCTCGCTGGCACATCCGCTGCTCACGCCCAGGACCGGACAGAGGAAACAACCTTTGGATTGAGACCTCAAGTCAAAATAAAGCCAAGAGCTGAATATGGGTGCTGTTGCAAAGCTTGACCACCAGATGACAGTATAGATCTTCAAGTAATTTTTGTAACAGTATCATTTAAAATTAAACCTAAACTCCTGCTCCTATTAATCCGAAGAAAAACACAAGTTTATCTTTAAAAAGTCACTCTTGCAATTAATGCTAATGAAATTCATCAGAAATAATTTGATAATATGATTTTCTTGCATTTGAATCAGTTCTGTTGAACTGCTGAATCAATGTTTTTTGAATCCTGTTGCCTATATATTGTGAATTTGACATGAACGTCTATGATATTGTCTTTCAGTCTTTCAGAATATAACTTGAAAGACAAACTTCTGAAATTCAATTTAAGTATACCATTGTAATCTCTACTCTTCATAGTAAAACTGAGAAAATATCTCCCAATAAAGTAAAACAAAAAGATTATGAACAACAGACAAATTTATTAGGAATTGTGAGGGTGTGGGGTTCCGTGTGGGTCTGCGCAGGGTGGAGTGAGGGTGTGGGGTTCCGTGTGGGTCTGCGCAGGGTGGAGTGAGGGTATCAGGCTGGCACTCTGGTCATGGAGTCCGTGGGGACAGGGATGGGGGGGTGGGGGTGCTCAGGGCAGGTGTCTGTGTAGTCGGGTGTGAGCAGCCGCGGGGGGCAAACGCTTGTCTTCCAGCTGTTTATCTCCTCGGCTCCTGATCACAGACTCTGGTCTGCAGCTGTGAAGAATTCATCAAGCCTCAGAGTAATGAAGGGTAGTTTCCGCTTCATTTCCCCAGCTGTGAAGTGTTGATTTGAGCTTTTGTAGTGGAAGGGGAAAAAAACAACAACTGCACAAAAACAGACACATTCAGAGCCGAAGCAGACACCCCAATGCGTACACACACAGATGGATGGATGTGTGGATGGATGGATGGATGGATGGATCGCTCACCATATCTCTGTCTCTTCTAGAAGCCCAGCTTTGGAAAATAACCTTTTGTGCGCAGCATACATATCAGCACGACCTCGCGACTCTGAATGCCCCCTCTGTTCATTAACAGGTGCCCCCCTACAGTACATGCAGACGCTCCTTTGTCCCACCCAGGCCTTCCGCAATGAAGTGAGAGATATCTTCATTAGAATCCTCCACCTCTGGCCCCCTATCGATTCTCGTTCACTGACAAATTGCGACTGTAGCAGCTGAACGTGCTGAACGAGGGCCCCCGTTCCAGGAAGGTGTTATCACAACAATTAACACGCGAGGATGGCGGTATGAGGAGGATGGGTTAGGGGCGAAGTGCGGCTTTGTGTTTGTGCGGCGACACGCTCAGCGCGGGCGGTGATGTCTACGCGAGGGCGTGGTGGGCATTCCGGCGGGTGATGTGCAGAGGTGCATCATGGGAAACGGATGCACGTGTTGGAGTTTGCAGTAGTGCGTGTCCTGGTTCCTGTGCACGCGTGCCATACCCTCCCAGTGCGCTCAGCTGGCGTAGTACTCGTGACCATGTGGATAAAAATGAAAGTGAAACACTAGTGAATGTGAGGAAACCCTCGCTGTCTCCTGAGGGTGGGGAGAGGTACACACCCATCTGCTTTTGGGGGAAGATAGAACAGCACCTCCTTGAGTTTGTTTGTTTACTCGCTCCTGTGCTGCCGTTCTCCTCCTCCACCATCCCTTAGCATTGTCGCTCACTCATCCCCCCCAACCCCCGGTCTCCCCACCACCCCCCACCCCCATCCTCATGCAGTGCTGCTTCTGGCCGACCCGGACATTCCTGCGCGCGTCGCCTGCATCTGTCTGAGTTGCGGAAAAGCCTCCCGACACACAATGAGTTTTAATTAGGTTAAGTTTGTCCGCCACAGATAACATTCCTCTTTCTGTGGAGAATAAAACAAATTGCTGGCACTAATGGCACTATTTAATGTAACTCTTTTTTTTTATTATGGATGGAGGAAATTAGGAGACGTTCCCTGCAGAGAGTTAATGCGGTGGGAGTCGGCGCATTGTTGCGGTTCATCAGAAAGCGTTGCGGTTGCGGCGGCTTCGCTCCTTTTCCTGCGGCCGCGTTTCCTTCTCGTGCCTTTGCTCCCCCTCACCACAGCAGAAAGAGGAGTGCGCTTGCTCCTGAGATTATAAAGGGGGCCAAAGATCCCCACACGACGTCCTGGATGCCGGGAGTGTCCAGGCGGCCGACCGCTTCTCTGCCAGACGGGGGCCGGCGCTGGGTTTCGGTGCATCTGCTGCAGTGGCATGTGCATTTGGTATGATAGCACTTCAGGAAACAGACCCAACTGAAGGGATGTGAGTTCAAATCCCACAGGAGCTTAATGTGTCACTCCAAGCTACTTAAACCGGTTGGTTACCCCAAAAGATCCAGCTGTATAAATAGGTCAGAATCAGGACCGGTTCCGAATGAACGTTCTAAATGTGTGAAAGGTCACCATGCATGTAAACTTCCTGTTGCCCACTCTCTTTGTGATATCACTGTATAAACAAAAAGCAATGCACCGACAGTGTACACCCAAACAGAATATGAAAACAATTTGGCTGCATATCAAGAAAGAGGAATTCGCATGTGCATTTTTTTTAATGTATATGTGTGTTTATTCACTCAAGTGGGACTTAAGGCCAAACAGATCCACAAGTTTCCTCTTTCCACACATTATGCACACACATTGTTAACGAGACGGGGGAAAAAAAACAGTGTCAGCTTTGCAGTATTTAAATCAGTTATGTCTAATTATTTCCTATAAAAATAGCTTATCTAGGGCAAAACCAATGAGATGTAACATCGTCTGTGGAGGGGGGACCTTGTGGACCTGGCAAGAGTTCAGCTAAACAGAACAGAACACAGAGACTCTGCTGCAGGCAACATAAATTTAACATGAACTTGCCTGCTTTGTCACAGCGTAATGCGGGGAGTGTGTAAGGAGGCGTTCAGGAACCGTGTGCGCCATTGCCTCAGATAATCGGACTTAAACATGTTAAAGATGTGTGTGACAAAGGGGCAAACGTGGAAATCGCGACGTTTAGAGAGCGCCGGCGTTCTTTGTTTCCGAACGGGCGTCCGTATTCTCCCCCAGACAGTCTATGTGTCGCTCCTTAATTTCGATGGGTTGGATTCACCACGGGAATTTACCGCCATTCGGCTCCTTTGCCCCCCCCCACCCCCGAACGCGAGTGCCCCATTTTGTTCCGGCAAAGCTCTCGCCTGGGTCGCGAATCAGCCCTTTCAGCCGCAGACCGGCTAGTCACAGCACATGTCTGCCCTTAAGACAAGATGCCCACCGCACAAGCAGCTTGGACATTTTCGAGGGAATAACAAGAGACCACTTGAATTTCACCCACACGTTAGGTAGCCAGGCCTAGGCCCGACAAAAGCAAAAGCGCACAAAAATGACAGAGGGTGTAATTGCTTGCTATGTGATTTAACAATGCAACTTTTTAAGCTATTCAAATCTCGTCTGTCCTTGACCCTTGATGAGGTTGTAATGTGGGTTATTTACCCCTTTTATCTATCTGAGAAAGGGGGCTACCATTGAGAGCTTTCGCTTCTGCATGCCAGCAGCTTCTCTCTGGGGCGCCAGAAGAAGCGCTTTAAAAGGTCTCCAGGCGCGCGGTCATTTCAGGCCCGGAGTTCAGACGAGCCAAGAGGGGCCCCCTCGCCAGCGGGGAGTCCATTTTAAAGGCCGCTCTGTCTCTCCACGGGGGGGCGAAGCTCAATCTGCGGGACACCCCGCCGATCCCATCAGCACGGGGAGCCCACCAAGTTATCCATGACAACGGCCGGCCAGAACAAAGCCGGCGTGTCCTATAGAGCGTCCGCATTGTGCGGGGGAGACGTTTCCCCTTTTTCCGCGCCGGGCTGGTGCTTAACAAACGGACATGTGTAACGTACACGTACACGGGTGTTTTTTAGAGGTAATTTGCGGATGGATAAAAGACGATCCATCGGTTAAAAAAGAAAACGACTTCGTGATTCAGTAGACAGATCACCACACATAAAACAAGAGCAGGTAAAATATATATATACTATTTGGTTACATTTTACATGATAAACACTCTATTGAACTGACGTGCGGGCAGCAAAATGCGTTTGGATAAAATGCAAGCGTGTACTGTTACATTTTAAGTTATAAAAATGTCAAACTTTATCAGTAATCCCCAAGCCTCAAATGCAGGGCGTATTGCCCCCGAGAGCAGCGAGCAGAGCAGCGAAAAAATACAGGCGCACTTCTGCTGTATTTCACCGGGAATATAGACTGCGCTTCCCTCACATGCACTGGGAACGCCGCTTGGCTCTCCGGTGAACCAAAAGCCTGCACTGAAATTGTGCAAATAAAGGTATAATCCTCCGGCTAGACTGGAACCGCAATCTGCATAACAAATGGGGTTTTTTTCTCAACCGCATGCGTAACTTTATTTAAAATTATTTCTTAATGTGATAAGCTTAAACACTGAAGTAAATCACTTTTAAATAATTTCAGTAATTACTATGCACATAAACATCCGTAAGAGGGAAATAATAGCAAACGGAATGTACTGAGAACAAAAAAATCTCCTCCTTAAATATACAATTTTATAAAATTGTGTCAGTTTGCTTTCGTCCCTCCTAGTGTGAGAACAAGGCGAATAGTGACAGAGCAGTGAGCGAGTGGGGAAAGTAAGTAGGGAAGGAGCGAAAGGCGAATCCAGTCCGTCTTTTTATCCCGCTCGCCGCCGAGTTCCTCGAAGCTCCGTGTTTTGGCCCCGATCTGCGCTCCAAGTTAAGCTGTAGTTTCCATGGCTGACCATGGTTTGGTGCTGTTGGCTCTCTCTGTCTGCTCAACCCAGGCTGTGCGGAGCTCCCTGCGGGATCACAGCGCTCCCCCGCCGGGACCCTACTCTCACATCCTCCTGCTGGGACTCGGCTACATTTCCAGCCAAGCCTGGCTTTATTATGTGTGTCTGCACTGCAGCCGCGCCAGCAGTCGGATCGGGAGGCGGAGGGAAGACCAGAGTCAGGACAAAGAAAAAGGGAGAGAGAGGCTAGCGACCGCAAACATTTCTGTTTTTGAGGAATTTAAAATAAAGCGGAGAAAAAAATCCTAAATACAATCCCCGCGGGTGAGAATGCTGGCTGAGACAGCGATGTCCATATCGCAGCCTGTAAAATAACGGAGGTGCGAGATGGCTCGATGCAAGTAGGACCAGGGCAAAAATATATATCGCAGTATTTACTATAACTGCACCGCGGAGCAGGCACGACGGGCGACGACAGGAGGAGAGAGAGAGAAAACAACGCCAAGCTCCTTTAATCAAAATTATATAATTGCTCAATTAAGGTAATCAGATCACCGAGACGCGCTGGCACCTTTTCCCACGGACAATCAGGTGTTACGGTACCGCTGTAAAATTCTGGCCCCCGCGACGCAACTTGCAAGTCGGACTGCGCGCACCGGTTTGAAGCCGCTGCACCGCAAGCGAGCGCTTTCTGCGCCGAACAAAAGGACCGCCGGGCGGCCGGCTAAGCAATCGCCAAGTTATCCGGACAGATCTACAGGTTGAGCCGAAGAAGTTGCACTTAGAGAGGAAAGGGGGAGCAGATCCAGGAATAAAGCTTTCTGTCTTTGTTTTAAACTGGCTTCCGCTTTATTTCCAGTGCTGCCACACTCCTCCAGCTACTAGAGACTGAAGTTGCCGCATTGCAACAGGCAAAGAAGTAGAGGGGGAAAAAGATCAAGTCAATCAACCCCTCTATATGTTTGTATACTGGTAAAGGCAATAGATCGGCGAAGAGGAAAAAAAAGATACCGCATTAAGACGGAGATGTCTAGGAGAAAACAGGCCAAACCGCGCTCCGTTAAAGGTAAGTATTTCTGTAATGAAGAGAAGGGGGAAAAGATGGACTGCAGCATGACCAATAAGATTTCATGGCTAAATTTGGCGGGTACTGTGAAATTCAAAGATTTAATATCTTCTGTCTGTGTTGTACTTTTTGTTTGGGCACTTCCCCCAGCTTTGTGGGTGGTGAGAAGTTCAAAAGTAGTGTGAAGCGCAAGCCCTGCTTTTTATTTTACAAACTGATCGCTCTCGGGATATTATAATTGTTGTATGGCGAAAACGGTAACTATTATATGATGTAGTATTTCTAAACTTCTGGTTTGATAAAAATCGACACAATGTGGATTTTTTTTTGGAAAGGAGTTTTAATAAGAGCTGTAACTTTTTATTATTAATTGTGTGTCTTTACGTGACTGTATATGTGTGACACTTTTAACGTGGCAATGATTTAATATTAGTTTACCGGTTTGTGGTATTAAGACTTTTTCCTTAGGCGTATAACTGTCGGTTAACACTCAGAATATCCATAAGTCAAACTGGGCGGCACTGGGAACTGGTGTGTGGATATTTAAATGTTTTGCAGTAATTGATTACTGTTTTGTAAAGTGTCGTTTTTTTTGTAGACGTAAGTGTTTACATCATAGCGCGAAGAAAGCCAAATGGCACTGGGCTTTGGAGATCATGGCTGTCAGATGCTCTTTATCACGCAGTCGAAGTAGCGGGTCGTGCCGGACACACGTCCCTTTCGCACGCGCTTCTCTATCGCCGTCTCACCCGAATCGTACAAGGAGGTCAAACAATGGTGGGTGAGAAGCCCTGGACGTGATTTGATTGTCTAACCGCCCCCTAAGCCCCCACTGCAACCCAGTGCTATGGCCCCCCAAGTCCCACTCGTAGGATGCACGCAATGGCATACGTTTCTGTTAGGCGAAAGGGACATTTGGCACCTTCGCCTCCGCCAAAAGCAGATGGGCGTTAGGCAGCCATGTGCTCCAGTATTTAGAGACTCCAGTAACGACCCCGTTTTTTGTTCTGATTTGCACCAGGCTTATGAAACTGTATTGGAGGGTCATGTGTACAGTATACATTGCAATGCATTCACTCCAGTTTTTTAAGTTTGGATAAACACCCCTTTTACAGAAGGTGTTATTGCTGAATGCAAACGCAGCTTAAGGCGTTCACGTTTATGAAAAAGGTGCCGGTGTTTAAATGAGTTGAGTTTGTATCGCTTACACACCGTAGCGGTTCGGTGTCACCATCTTCGCGGACACGTACTACAATTATTATTGTTTTTTTTTGTTTTTTTTTTTTAACAAGCCTTACCAGTAATGTCCTCCTTCTGTCATTCATATTCAATGCAAGCAAGACAGCTATCACTAATTGGCAAAACGTCAGAAACGTTTGTGTGAGAATTGGGAGCGAATTGGTCAAAGGAATGAAGCAATGAAGCCCCCCCCCCAAAAAAAAAAAACCTCCCAAGCACCGCTGTCCTTTCCTTCCTGGTGAAATTGACCTGTAAGTCAGGGCTGACGGCTCTGCCGGAAATAAAGGTGCTGAATGCGGTGTGTGACAGAGACGCGCTCCGCCGCCACTATCTCTGCCCGACACCTTTCTGACGCGCTCGGAAATTACGGCCGAGCAGCCGGGCGCCTGGCGCACCGGGGACAGCGTCTGTCTTTACACTCCAGCTATTTCAGCCCGCTAACTGAATACAAAAGTGTCCCCCAGTTCATATTATCACCCGGCACATTCGCCTTTTAAAATTCTTCTCCTTTTTTATTTTAATTTAGGAAAGCCAGCTCCTCACAATGAGCGTTTGGGAATAAAAAATAATTAGGCTTAAAGCGTTTGCAGTATTAATTTAATTTCGAGTTGTTGAAGGGGTATGTGACGATACGGTCATTTGCAAAACACCGGTCAGGAGCGATTATGAAAATATTTAGCCTCCCAATTAATGTTTTTTGTGTGTTTGTAATGGCGTTTGGAAAGGGGGCAGGGGTGTTGCTGCTTCATACCCCCCCCCCCCCGTGTTTAATGCGAGGGTGCTGGTTATTAGGACTTAATTGCGGGAAATTAATGCAGGCGGTACGCGAATGGAAGGAGTGCAGGGTTTATAGTCGGTCAAACAGATCTGGACCTTTTAACTTGACAGCAGCATTGGTGGGGGGGAAAAAACTTGAGGCTGGTTGAGTGAATCTAATGATATCAGTTGCACTTCACCTCGCTCTCGCCGCCTCATTCCCCACTAAATTGTACTGCTGTTTATAATTATATCGCTCTGGCTTTTTTTTTTAATCCCTGATAGTTGAGCTGATGGGACAAATTACTCCTGCATCTAAAATTCCAGCATGGCAAGAAAACACGGCTTTTTAATATTATCGCGTAGACTAGTCAACTAAACAGATTCTGTCATTGTTGCAATTCGATTTTTTAAAATATGTAAACAATTAGCGTGGAAATTGGGCCATCCTTTCATTTTGTGCCCGATAAAGGGTATAGTATGGCCTTTCTGTACCCTTGCGTTTTCCCCTCGATATCTTCCTGTCAACATGATCGATTTGACACTGATTTATTTATTAATTTATTTTTTTTGAGGTTGAAAACAAATGTGTGGCCCCTGCTGTACATCCTGTTTGGAATTTTTATTTTCCTATCTAGCACATTTCTGAGTATTTTTTCCCCCCATATCACCTGTTTTCTGTATTTGCATGATATTTTTTTATGGTCTCCTCATATACACATTCCCGGGCAGTAATAAAGCGGCAGGTCCTGTACAGGAAACCGGAATATTCTCCCACAGATGCACTGCTCCCCAAGCGGCACATATGGCGCAAATGTCAGGGTGCTGTTCTTTAGACCTTGCGTCGGGTAAAGCAGTTTTGGGGCCGCCAGCCTCGGTAAATGGGGCCTTGGTGAGGACCTGGAGGCGTCCGAGGGGCTGCCCTAATACACGTGTGCATCCGTAAATATCTGGAGAGACCCGGGGGAGTGGGGATGATTGCGGGGGGTGTGTGTGATGTCCGCTGGAGGGGGCAGCAAAAGGAGGAGGAGCAGGGTTAGCTAGCCATAGGTAAAACCTAGCTGACCCAGTAAATCTCTGTTTAGCGTGTGCTTAGGATTCTGGTCCATCTGCTGTTCCAAATGACCATGTTGACAGGGACTGGCCATGTGACCTTTGTGGGTCCCGCTTGTGCACAAATGTTTGCAGTACAGTTAGAGAAAAGTTGCTGTTGAGGCCGTGTCCAACATGGCCGCCTCTGCGCTCATTTGGACGCTCTTCAAACGCGGCACCGGAACACGTTATGCAGCTCGTGCTGTCGTCCGGTCCGGCGCGGTTTCGTGCGGCTGTCCTGCGTGGGTCTCTGGGGCTCGGGTGGTGGGGAGGGGCGGGGAGTGCGGCCTTACCCCGCAAACCCCCCCCCCCCCCCCACTCTGCCCCCACCGTCTGTTTTTGCCATTAAATGGCCCTTTTATGTGGTGGAGACCTTGGCAAGGCTACGGACGTTTTATTGGTCAATGGTCTGTTATAAAGGAGTAAGTGGATTACCACAGACTCGCTGAGCTGTGATAACGGGTTAGAGGGAGGCTCAAATCCTTTTTTCCCAAAGCTTTTCTAATGTGGAAGGTTTTTTTTTTTTTTATCGTTATCCCCAGAACTTATTCTGGGCCAACAGCAAATAATAAATGCCAATATTTATGATAAATATTACTAGGCCTACCTCACTTTTTAGAGCAAATAATCCTGCTTTTCTAATTAAACTTGACCAGAGATGAGTGGTTTAGTTTGGACCTGAACGACTTCACAGAATTCTTGTCTAGTTACCCTTATTTTTTATTATTTTTTTAAATTTGTATTATTTACTGTAATATTTCAAAATGTAACAATTTTTAGTTTTTCTTTACTGGGAGCTCTAATACAAATGTATTTTTCTTTTCTTTTTTTTTTTTTTTTTTTTCATTTTACAAATTTCTGTTTTTGAAGTGTGCAGTTGTGCCCGACAGCTTGTGTCTGAGACGGGCAGGTCTGTGCTGACGGTGGATTCACCCCACGCTCCCTTCAAACGGCAGGTGCTCTTGAATGTTGCTGCCTGGCCAGCAGTCCACTGTTCTCTGATCAGTTTGTGTTGTCTTTCAGACGTAGGTGTATGCTTGCATTTGTGACACTATATATTTTTCTTCCTCTGTGTGTGTGTGTTTGCTGTTTTTTGACTTTGGTACATTTCTACAATATTTGGGTATTTTTTATACCACCGGATATGTCTTCACTGTCCACACAGCATCAGAAATTCTGTTAAACCATTGAGCATTTTGACATTAAATTATTGAAATTGGTTATTGGGAGACCTGCCATTCCGGTAGCCTGGTTCACTTCTTCTTTTTTTTTTTGTGTGTAGCCACAAATGGGGCCAGCGAGGATGAATCACTCCCCCTTAGCCATTCCTCATCTCTGCTGCCCGTTAGCTCTGTGCATTACTGCACTCTGCTGCCCCTGCTGGCCTGGAGGCCAAAGTGCGACCCGTGTTCGAGACTCCCCGGTGGGCACGGCGCCTGCCAGTGGCGGGTCCTTATCAGCGGCTGGCCTGGTAGTTTTGCGTGGAAGGATCTGCGTTGGTGTGAGCGCTTGGTGCCGCCGTTCCGCCGCACCGGCTTAACCGACGCTTTTATTGGCTCTGTGGACCCGTTGGCCCGAAAACCTTGTGCACGCCGGGTGCCTGCTCCTTGGCGCCGGTTCTTTCTAAAAAGGGGGACGCCAAGGCCACTTTTTGCCATTAATTCTGTTTGTGTCGTCCCGGCCCCCAAACGGGGTGCCAGATTGAACCCTCTTGCGCCTCCCTCTGGACCTCCCTGCTCTTAGCCGCCTTGCTCCAAAGCCGCCACTGGGCCGGACCAGATTAAAGCGCACTGGGACAATGGGAGACGGCCCATCCAAAGCCGCCCCCCCCCCCCGGGGTGGTTCGGGTCTGTGCCGGTACAGTGCCACTCAGCCGCAGCCGAATGCAGGCAACTTTGTTGTCGGTTTCAGCC